GCAAGAGCAGTCAGTGCTCTTAACTGCTGAGCCATCTCTCCAGCCCCAGTTTTAACTTCTTTTAATAAAGAATATCACATTGTTTTAATGTAACACAACCTATAACCCTTCTCTCTTTGTTTCTTGATTTTTTTCTTAAGTACCTTGGGTGAAAGCCAGCATTCCAGTTTGAAATCTGCCTTTAGAAAACTGGCCATGGGTTACTCTGAAATGATTTTATAACAAAAGCAATTTTTCAAGAAATATTTTCAGAACAGTGTAAGAAATTGTTCTGATGGAAATGTTTTGTATAAGAAATGGTGACTACTTGGGAGAAATACTGCTTACATATTTCAGTTAAAATTAAAGAACAGTTGGGGCTGGGGAAATGGTTCAGTTAAGTGCTAGCCTTACAAGCAGAAGGACCTGAGTGTAACCCCCAGAACCCACATAAAAAGAGCTGGGCATGTTGGCACACACCTGGAATCCCAGCACTGGAGAAGAGGATACAAGTAGATTCCTAGGTTTGGTGGTCAGCCAACCTCACCTACTTGGCATGTTCCAAGCCAGCGAGAAACCCTGACGAACACCTGAGGCATATCCTCAGACCATCACATGTACCAACACACACACACACGTACTTGGATACACACAGGAACACACACAATAATTAACTAATTAATTAATTAATTAATTAACGAACAAACTGGTGTTAGTAGAGTAACACTGGCCTGGCCTCATGATAGAGTGTGTGAAACTCTGGCTCTCCTGGGCTCAGACCTCAGTCTCCAGTCAGGGAAATATATATTTCCCTGGGCTACTAAAGTTCACACAATACCACCAGGAGGAAAACAACTTTACTTAACCAATTAGGATATAAAAGGAAAAAAAATAGTAATACTCATGAAAATCCCTGTAAACCACTTTTGCTGTTACAGTGACTCAGAAAAAAATGTATGTGTTGTAAGAGAATGAAAATGTTGGCATTCAGCTGAACGGTCTGTCTAGTCCTGCCTAAAATTCCATGTATCCCAGTCAGTCCAGGTCTTGCACCTCTAAGTCCAGAAGGGATTGCCTAGAATGCCCATTCCTTATCCTTTGGGAATCTAAGCACTTTTCAAGATACTTGCAAATTTCTGGAGAGCATCTGGCCCTCGGTGATCCCTTCTGTGTATTAATTCAGTTATTGGATCACGTTACCACTCCCAATTGGCCTTCCCTGTTCTCTACTGCTCCTGCTTAGACACAACTCATCTCCTCAGTCCTCAGCCCCTAATTCCACCCAAACACCCCAAGCTCCCCTTAGCATGCATGCCCATCCCAGCCCTGGCTGGAGGTAGAGGTGGGGTTATAACAAGCATCATGGAAGCACCTTGTGAATGCAGAAGCTCACCAGAGGCTTTTGGTCACTATGCCATTCCCTGTCTTTAATGTGCCTCTCACTTTTCTTGCTTCTCATCCCTTCCTCCCAAAAGATCCTAAGTTGTTCATAAAGTTATTCAGAGCCTCCAGCTCTCTAGAGTCCTTATTCCCAAAACCAATTCCTAACCCCGCATAGGCATCTTAAAAACAACCCAAAAATCCTTTAATGTCATTGGACTTACATTTTTAGAAAGCGCTTAATATTGTTAGTAGCAATTTATATTCCTCTCCTGCATCTTTTTGTCAATTCCTTTGCACAGCTGATTCTGAGGCCTGAGCCTGGATGTGTCCAGATCTCTGTCCATGAGTCTCACCGTCAGAGAGCAGCTTCCTCCCTGGTTTTATATGTATGGTCCTCCACCATGGGGAAATTAAGACACATGTACATCCGCATGCTTTAGTTCACAGTGTCCTACCTGTTGGCTCTTCCAGGTTTGCCTGACAGTTTGACATTGTGACTTGGCATTGTCATCTACAAAGTTCATGCTTGAGAACCACACAGTCAAGTTACCCAAAAAAATGAAACAAAAAAAAAAAATCACAAAAAAATCTCATGACATTTTAAGTGAGTTTAGGATTTTGTGTTGGGCCACACTCACAGCCACCTTTGGCTGCACATGACCCTGTAGGCCTTGGGTTGGGCACGCCTCCCTGTTCCGCCTACCTGATATTTATTCAAGGGATTCCTTCCATCCATTGCTGCTCTCTGCAGTCTCACTTTCCAAAGTCCATCCCTCCTATGGTCCTTCCTGTGCCTGCTCTGTGTTTGCCAGATGCAGTTGGGTGCAGAGACCATAATGGACACACTGGTCCCTGGGGGCTTCAGAGGTGACTTCTCCCCGTGTTTTATTTCACTGGCTGCTTTTTAGACCGTTGACAGTAGTGAGACAGTCAATGGGCTAAAAAGCAGCCAGTGAAATATTACCTGTTTCTCCAGCTCCACTTATTCCACAAATTCATTCCATTTATTCAACACATAGTCATTGTGTTCTATGGGCTAAGAGTTGGGGACACAACTTTGAGCAAAAGTTCTTGCCCACCTAGAGCTGATTTCTAGAAGGAGTGAGGGTGGCAGAATAGTTTAGTGCTGAATAGATAGCAGATGAGACTAAAACAGTGTGTTCAGAACTAGGGTTGAAGGCTATAAACAGAAACAAGGAAACAGTGTTCCTTTATACCTAATGGCAGTCTTCCTCTTTCCAGATCTCCAGCTCCACCTACCGCCTGCCCAGTTCCCATCACATGGTGACCAGGTGTGGGTGCCACAGTCTTCCACAGAAATAATTTTGTCTGTAATGAAAACTAGCTTTAAAAATCATAGTCCTTAAACTTCAGTCTCCTCTTTACTCTAGTTGAAATGACTATGTGTAAAGAAATGTCAAAAAGCATAACATATTATGCTGTGTCTCATTCTAAATATAAATAAGATGCTTCTCCCTGTTCAGTCTGGGAACAAAATGCCTTCCAAGTCATGAACTTTCACCTTTTATACTTCTTTTCCACCTTCCAATGGAAAACTTTGGCAAAGACAGCAAGAAAAATTAGAGGTGAATACAGTAACAACGAAAGCTGTTTACAGAGAAAAATGGGCAGAGGGCTTCCCTTCTCTGCAGTTCTCAGCATCCCAGTAAGTGAATGAAAGCATAGAAACAGCTTCAGTTTCTCCTAAACGGCTCTTTTCTAGGTTAGTCACTTCATTTGCCCTCTGAGATTTATAGTTCAGGCATACCAATTCAGAGCACAAAGAGGAAAAAAAGCCATTTATCTAATCAGATTCCTTGGGAAGAAATACTTAGGCAATATTAAGAATCTTCAATTATCTACTTTTATAAAAGGGACAATTTATATCCTGCAGTCAGTAACGTGTGATAGTGATTATTTCTAATCCCTTAGAAGAGATCTGACATGATGCTCTGGGTGCCTTATAGCATGAAATCGTCATGTATATTTCACCAAAAGAAGTAACAAGAATAATGGCCCCTGCAGTGTGCAGTCATTTTACACTAACACGCTGCAACATGGTTTTGCCCTGGGGCAGAGAAGTGGGGATTTTTCTCTACTTCAAAAGAATGAAAAATTATCATCACTCTATCCAGAACCATTACAGACTTCAGAGACTTTGGCATGAAATATTCAGAAAGTTTATTTTAGAATTCAATATTTTAAAAGCCTGCTTTAAAACTATTACAGTGATTAGTGACTTTCTTGCTTGAGCCAGTCTTTGCTTTAAAAAGCCCTGTGTCATGGTTAGTACCATTTGTTTTTGTTTTCATTTTCTTTTCAACAATATAATTTGTATCAACCATACAAGTTCCACAAGAGACGTGTCATGCATTATTTTAAAATGCCCCTGAAGAGGAATTGGGACCATATTCGTGTGTTACCCTTTCAGACACACGCTAAGGGACAATTTTTGTTCCTGATGGCAGTTCCATGAGCTGCTGCTGGTGCTGAGGTTTTCTGCTTCTGGTTTGCTTTATCTTAATGGTGTGAAATGTGTGTCATTCTCTGCTACCTGCTCAGGAAGCAATGCCCATGTCTCAGAGGTCCCAAGGACACACAGGGACACACAGGCCCTGCCGAGGCTTCCCACATCCTCAGCCCATCAGTCAAGGGCTCACATCTTCATCACTCTTCATAGGAATTAGAAAAGCTTAGTGGGTGTTTGTGAGGATTTAATAGTGTTTCCAGGGTGTGAGTGAAGCCAATGAGAAATCACGGAAGTGTGTTTAGCCATATGGAAACCTCTCTGCTTACACAGGAAGGCAAGGTGAAGATATGATAGAACCCTGACTCTAGAGTTCTACCATCCTAGTTTTGAGGTGCATTTTGGCAGCTTCCTGGTCACATGATCATGAGAAAATTGCCAAGCCTCCTTAAGGCTCAGTGGCTCTTTCTGTAAACTGGGCCCATCCCAGAATTGGCACAAAGATTTAGCCATTTGGGGGGTATAAAGGCAGTGCTATGTGGGATGTCAGACTTGATTCCCATCATTAATTGCTACTAAAATATTTTTCTCTTGTTTATCTCTTATTTTTGTTTTATGAAGCATGTGTATGTATATAAAACAGTAAAATACATGTGAGACAGCTAGAAAAACAGTTATTCCTACTTTTTTTGAGACAAGGTATTGTGTAGCCCAGGCTAGCCTCAAACTTTCTATGTAGAATAGGATGACCTTGAACTTCTGATCGTTCTGCCTCCACCTCCCTAGTGCTTGGATTATAGGCCCGTGTCATGGATTGTATGTAGCACTGGGGATGAGACCCAGGGCTTTGTGCGTGCTAAACAAACACTCTATCAAAAACTACAACCCCTTACTCTTCCTTTTCTTATATAACCTGTGCATTTAGATCCATCCCTCAAATACATTGCACATATTGTTTCTGTAGGTTTTAATAAATATCCTTCTGTTCTTCCCTACCTTAGTTATTAGCACTGTATAGGAGAAAGTATAGGCATCCACCTCAGCCTTCAAAGTGATAAGGTAGGTTCCTCCCTCATGCAGACATACAGAGAAAGGAAGATTCCAGTGTGCTCCTGACATGGAGGGTGCTGACAAGGGTAATGTGAGAGTAACTTTCTGTGTTATTCTCCAGGGAGGCAGATCAAGACTCCGATGGTCACGTCAGCTTCAGAGACTTCGAATATGCCATGAACTATGGACAGGCAAAGTGAAGCCGAACTAGTGTGAGCTACTTTTGGAAATTCTGGACAGAACAATAGATGGTAATATATTTGAAGGTCACACAAACCTCATTCTAGTAAAAATGTGATACTACATGCTTGTGAGTAAACTCTTGATCATAGTTGTTGAATGCTGGTATTGGTCTCTGCATCCCAAGGGTAGTGGGTATTGGGAGCTGGTATTGGTCTCTGCATCCCAGGGGTAGTGGGTACTGGGAGCTGGTATTGATCTCTGCATCCCAGGGGTAGTGGGTACTGGGAGCTGGTATTGGTCTCTCAATCCCAGGGGTTGTGGGTACTTCTTTCATGTTGCCAACAGTCCTGAGTCAGGCTGCTGTTGCTAGTTCCACCCACTAGTCTTCTCCCTTCCACTCGTCACCCCAACATCCTCCACACTGCAGGTTGGACACTCTGCTTAGTCAATTTGCCATTGGCTTGGATCCCTGACCCTCATCATCCCTGAGGATAGGCAGCTTTGTCCTGCCAGTGGCGTCCATGCCCTTCATTCACTCAACTAGTTGAACTGTGCGCTTACTGTGGTCTACACAGTGAGCAAGTGCTGGGAAAACAAAGGCTTGGGATTTCTATAAAATAATGTCCCCAAAGTGCAGATCTGTGCCCAGGGACTGGCTATGCAAAACAGAGGAAGCAGATGAGCCAACACAAGGCAGACAGCCCTGCCTTATGCAGAGAAAACCAGAGTGCGATATTGGCCTTAGCAAACAAAATGGTATGCTTTCAGGTCCCTTTAGGATGTCCTGGGCCTGGGCTTCCTGCTTCAGAGAAGCAAGTCCTCAGCTACCTAGCAGCCCACTGCTGCATACTTATGGTTCTAGGTGGTTCTGCCCTGCCACACCCTGCAGCCTCAGCCATCATGGAGCAGGGTCTTCACACCTCCACCCATGCCCCTGGGCTCCAGTGACTGCTATGCTGGAGGGCACTGTGACCCCAGGTGTACAGCATCCATTAAAAATAATTCTGCTATCAACACCAATACTTCATCTCTAAGTGTTCAGATTTCACAATGTTAACATTTGTAAAAAAGGAAAACAATGTTTAATACAATTAACATTAAAGTATTAAGCATTAAAAGATCAGGTAAAAAAATAAATTTGTAGAACAAACATTAAGCAAGCTTTGGTCTCATATAATTATTAGCAGATAACCTTAGGAAAAATAAAATTTTTAGCAATGGAGAGGAAGCTAAGGAGACTAGACAAGTAAATAACAACTGAAATGTAATCTGGTCCTCTAGGTGCGGAGCTCTAGGAATATTAGGTGGAGATGAATTAAGTAAGGGCTTCAGCTGCTACTTACGACTTTTCAATAAATCTAAAATTATTCTGAAATTAAAAGTTTGTTTAGAATTAAAGCCTTATTCAAAATTCCATAAACTAAGCAAAGATGCATTGAAAATCATTATTCAATATGAATGAAATATTATTTCGAAGACGGAAATGGATTAATTGTGTCATCGAGAATCATGTGTGGTTTTTTTACAAAGCGTTCCAGTTTCTGACTTTGAATAGTTTTGTTCAGCAAGCATTTTCATCATAAAGGGACTAATTTAGTCATTGATCCTGAACTCAAAACATAAAAGATATATTAGATTTCTTAAATTAAAAAAAATTAAAGCACACTAATAGTATTTATTAACAGAGCAATTATTTCAGTAATTGTCAGAAATCCAAAGTTTTATATTGCAGTCCCTATTTGGATCCTAGTTTCCGTGAGACAGATGACACAGGAAAGGGAGGGGTCACTTTCTATAGTTGCTGTGGGAGGTGAGAGGGGAAGATGGAAGAGCTATTGAGCATATCCAGGACCCTAGATTAGTCAAGACTTTTTTTTATCTCAATGACAGAAAATTACCCCAAGATAATTTTCTTTAAAAAAAAAAAAATCACTTAGCTAACTTACAGGAAGCTAGTAGTGGGAGGGCAGGGGTGAAGCTAGGGTCCAGGGCCCCACAACACCAGCACCTCCAGATTCTGTCTCCTTCCCTCAGTTACCAACAGCTTCACACCATCCTCAAAAGGAACTGGTCCATGATCCAGTTCAGAGCCTTCAGGAATAGGTTAGGGTCACTTCGCTCAGGGTGTATGGTCATGTGCCTTGGGGATGCACTGGTGTGCCCACTGCCAGTCATAGAGAAGGAAATTGACAAGACCTGGAGGCAGTCTATTTTCTTTCTTAGGAAAAAAAAATCTGGCTATGACCTCTTCTAAGAAGGAGCTCAACCCTGGGTTTGCTGCTTAGAAGCATCCAGGTTCTCAGAGCAAAAACACAAAGAGAGGGTGACAGAGAAGTACTCCCTCCTCTCCTGCCCATTTTTCTTTGGCTCAAACTTCATCCTTGTCTGAGAGCAGCCTTTTCCAGCCTCTCACTTCCAGGGCCCTGACCCCAGTGGCATCCCCAGTCCACATGAACATGCCTGTGCACTGTGGCCTTGGTGGTTTGACCCCAGGTGGATGGCCCAAGGGTAGGCATCTGTTCAAGCTGATAAACTGTCTCAGCCCTTGGAGGACGTGGAGAGCTTGAGTGCAACTTGGGTGCTCTTCTGACTGGCTGAGCAAGGGGTATGACTCAGGAGTGAGTGGCAGACATGGCCTGGAAAATTCAGGCAGCTGGTTTGCAATGAGCACAGAGGGGGAAAAAATAGACATGGAGAGGGGTGCAGTAAAGGAGGGGAAGCCTGTGGTGCTTGGTTTCTGGTTAAAGCTTGTGCGCAAGACCCAGTCATAACCCTGTGGGTCCTGTGAGGTAACCCTGTATCCTTCCAATAAATCTTTCTGCTCAAGCCAGCTGGAGTTGCTTTCTGTTATTTGAAACCCAGAGAACCTTCACTGCTGTGAGCACACAGCCAAGGACAGAGTCCTGGGTGACATTAGCATTCACTGGGCAGCAGAGAAGTCTCTTTTAAAGAGACTAAGAAGGAGCATTTGAAGATGGCAGGAGTCACCGCTGCCACTTCCATCCCTGCCTCTCCTGTGGCCCTCACTGTGTCCAGCTCTGGCTTCCCTGCTGCAGTAGCTTTTAGAGGGGCCACCAGTGAGCTGCGAATGGAACCTGCCAGCCCCTCTCATACCTCAGCACACCTTTCCTTCTCATGGGTCTAAAGTGACGGTAGGGCCTTTGGAGTTCTCTTATAACCTGCATGATGTGGGTCTCCTGGGTATTTCTGTGCCCACGTGTCCTGCCGTCTTTTCCAGTTCCTGTTCTATAACCTGCCTATAAGGTAATCATTTCCAAGGCCCTGTAAGTGGCCAATCTTCTTGATCAACACAATCTCCCAGGATGATTTCATCCACTGCCAAGAGTTCAGTTATTGCCTTAATTGATAGGACTCCATAAACAAGTCTTTATCTTTGATCTTGACCTCTGCTCAACTCCAGGCCTGCGTTTTCATTTGCCGATCAGACGTTTCCACCTCACTGAACTAAAATCAGACGCATTGTTTCCCTCATTTTCAAAATCGGTTTCCTGCTATTTCTGCTAATGGCATCATCCCGGTCCATCCCCCACCCAGGCTGTCATCCAAGCCAGCTGCCTCAGAGTCTTCTCCTCTCCTCTGTCCTCCTTAGCTCTGACATCCAACCAGTCACAAATCCTTTTGCGCCTGTCCTTGTAAAACATTTTGACGCTTTTTCCCCAATTCCACCCTGATCTTTCTGTCTGTGTCCTTATTCCTCACCAGTTCTTCCTTCCAGTCACTTGTTCTTTTTTGCTTTCACATAAGATGACTAAAAGATGTATAAGAATAAGACTGCTGCCAGAAAGTTCTAGCCTGGCACGTGAGTGATCTTCCCAAAGCACAACAAAATGACTTTTCTCTGCTCAAAAGCTTTCAGTGGCCATCTTTCTATTGGATAATGCCTAAACTCTAACACACCAATTCAAAGCCTCGTGTAGTAGGGCATCAGTTCATATTTTCTGTTTCATTCTTCACTACTCCCTCTGCCATATCACCCACAGCACACATGAGCACAGTCCCTTCACCTGAAAACACAAACATTTCAATAGATCTTTGCTCAAAGTGGAAAAGTTACAAATAACCTTGAGATTACCATCTAATAATAGGAAAGTGAAACAATAAAAAATAAAATTCCATTGCACACATGCACATGTACCTACATTTTTCCCTTCCCAGTCTCTTTGGGAAGGGACTAATATTGAGGATTTTATTTTATTTTATTCTATTTATAAAGTACTAGCCATCACTTTTATAAATGAGGAAGCGGTTCAGGCCAAGTGTTAGGTGTACATGAAGAGGGTCATGGTATACCTGTCAGCTCGACAACAGACAGATGTGTCCTACTCTTCCATGGCATAGACCCCTATTCTATAGACATTGTTTGTTTTTAATGAGTTGACCCATATTCAACAGCCATCCCAGTTCAAGCATCTAGCACATGGAAGGTGTTCAAAATCAGATCCCATCTTAAGCATCACCAAAAACTTAACCAAAATTACAGTAGACTATCAGTCACACTCATCTTCAAAGACACAGATTGAAAGGTGCTGCAGACCCTCAAGGCATTGGTTAGAGAAGTTCTATAAATACTCCAAACAATGGGAGCATCTTTGCATAGGCGTAGATTTTCACTGAGCAGTACTCCCTCAGGTGTGTAAGTTCTAAATAACTTATTTCCTCAGTCATTCTACTGGCTATCCACACTGTACTTACACCCTTGCAGTTTAGAATTAATAAAAGCAAACTTTGTTGCTTTTTTTTGGCTTGTAACCTTTCAAAGATTTATTACAGAATTAGACAATTAAAAAAAATATTTGAGTGCTCAGTCAGTAACATGGTTGCTATGCAAGTATGAAGATCTGGGTTTGATCCCCTGCATCCATGTAAAAAGCTGGTCAATGTGGTATGCACCCATAATTCCAGCACTGGGTAGAGAAACACAGGAAGATCCCAGGGGCTCACTTAACCAAGTAGTCTGGCCAAACTAGTGAACTCCAGATTCACCTCAGTGAGAGACTCTGCCTTAAAAAATAAGGTGGTATAGCCAGGCATGGTGGCTCAAAGCTTTAATCCCAGAACTCAGGGGGCAGATCTCTGTGAGTTTCAGGCCAGCCTGGTCTACATAGTGAGTGCCATGCCAGTCAGGGCTACACAGTA